GAGAGAGACGTACCTGGTGGAGAGGAGGGCGGCATTGGTGTTGACGCCATCACTCGCTGGTCGTCAAGTTGTCTGGTTGCTTCCATGCTGTAGTTGTAGGGATAGGCTGTAGAGTAGATAGGGCGCCTGGCGCCATTCAAGAGAGAGAGCTACATTGGGTTATGCTGTTGGTGTTGCCCGATTGGGCTTGGACATTGACACACGATTCTGCTGTATCGTTCTCAAATGGATGGTTTCTTGGTTCCAATGTGCTATCTGCTCTTGCTTTGACTACTTGGACTTCAGTGTGATTTTGCAATTTGGATTTCTGTGCTTCGTCCACATTCATGTTCCTTGCAATTTGGTATCGGAGCTGGTTTGATTCACCGCTTACCTTGGTGCGCTGGCGTTATACAGACTTGGTGCATTGACGATGCTTCTTCGCAGTTGGTTCTTGTGACATCAGGCCAAAACTAGGCGCACGACCTGGGTAGAGAGGTGTGCGCTGGAAGGCTTTACGGCTTGGGATGCCGTGGCGACGGCGGAATGTATGATTGGTGATGAGAGCACGCTGATGTGGCATTTGGCTGAGGTGGCACTGCATTGCGTTGTGGGTGGTACCGAGGCTACGACCGGTCATCAAATGCACACTCAGCTCAATTGGTGAGAAATCTGTGGTTGGGGCCAGCTATCTACAGGTACGTTGATCCCTTACCTTATCTACCCTCTCAATCTCTTCTTACCGCGAGGAAGTGAGTCCAACTTGAGAGTCCTCTCTTTTGGTGAGGTGTCGTGAGCGCTCTACCTTGAGAGACGACAATCTTCCCGGTGGNTCTTACCGCGAGGAAGTGAGTCCAACTTGAGAGTCCTCTCTTTTGGTGAGGTGTCGTGAGCGCTCTACCTTGAGAGACGACAATCTTCCCGGTGGCGCATCTGGAAGGAGAAAGGGCGGTGCCTCTGAAGGGCCCTGGTCGAAGCACGAGGGTCACGGTCACCATGCCAACCCAATGGGATTAGTACACGCATGTGATGGCTGCTTTGTCCATGAGGGCACTTTTGCTGCGCTGATAGAGGGGTGTGCGGACTGAACAGGCTTATGCAAACGCTCCCAGACCGTCTATAAACATTTCTGGATGGGGATCCGATCTGTCCACTGGCTGTGATCGTCGTCCTGATTGCGACGTTAAATAATTCCTGAGCGACCTTGGGGGCAGTCCTTAAATAGGCCTCTTGATCAGCCAGATCAGTCGGACGTACGGCTCGTTGCACGCGAGGATAAAGAAGGGGCAAGCCTGGTCATAAGCATGCACCTGGGGCATAGGGGTGGGTCGACTTTGCACACCTATGGCACTGCTGCTCAATGATGCTAATCGGTATGTTGGATTGAGGGGAGGGTAGGTTCCAATTGGTGCTCAACTGTAAACACAACCATATCCACTGTTCATACATCTGCCACATAATCATCATAACCACAAATAAAAATAGAACAGCAATAGCTCCTACATAAACAACTAAAAAAATCATAGCAAAAAAATCAAGACCTAATAACACAAGTAAACCTGAAGTATTACAAAATACAGACCGGACTTGATCTTCTACTACAAATTGAGTTTGTTTCATACGCCCCTCTGTGTAGGCCGAAGGCCACGGCTCTTGCCCGGGTTCACTATAATAATACGACACTACATACAAACAAAGGTATCTATCGTACGTATACTCATAAGTCATTGGTCTTTCTTTTATATTATTAATTAGTAGTAGCTCCACGTAAAGTCTCTGAGGATCCTACACAGACATATGTTGGTTTCCTGCGGATTGCCCTCTACTTGAATTTAATTACTATTACTTACTATCTAGAAATTAAATTCATTCTATCTATTCGAGGAGTTTCCCGCATACAGTGGAGTTGACCAACCCCAAGGAAACTCCGAATACTTGCAACTGAGCATCGCGCAGACAGACTTTGGGTGTAGTTAAGGAAGTATATATTATAGCAATCACACTAAGCAGTCGTTGGCTGCTTCGACATCTACCGACTTCGTACCCTTTGCTTAGTTTTATTGTTGATTAGTTGGTTGACAGACTCCTAACACCTCACAGACAGCTTTAGGACTGTTGTATACTACCATAGCCAGTTCTATGCAAAGCTTCTGTAAGTGAACTAATCTTGATATAACTAAATTATGTTTACGATTTTTGTGAATGTTGTAGGCTGCCACTTGATCGGTTGAGTAGGGGACCTGCAGGACACATTGATTTTTAGAAAATTAGGTGCCGGTCAGACACATGCTGTGGTAGGACTCCAACAGGGAGTTGTAGTGCAGATAGTGTTTGCCTAGCTGATGAGTGGGTCAGACACTGATGAGGGTAGAGTTGACGATGCGAGGCTGACACGTTCGAGATCACTTAGGGTCCCGCACGTGTTTCAGGCCCTACGGTCGGGGGATGAAAGCCGGCTTCGTGTCGAAGTTAGAGCCCGTGCTTACGCAGCAGCGAGGGAAACAGCACTAGCTGCAAGTCAGACGTTGGCAGCAGCAAACGCTGCAGCTAGGGAACGGGCAGCAGCAGCCAGCACAACAGCAATGGCTATTGCTGCAGCCTCGTATGGGACCCTGTTGGGAATGCCCTCTGGGCCCACGAGTACTTCCGGATCATTAGGTTCTAGTCAGTCCACAAGTCAAATGGCAGGCTCGCAGTTCAGTCCGTTGACCCCACGCGGCAGGGACCTACTAGAGCTCCAACAAGTCGAAAGGATCCGCACTCGGCTAGAGAGGGAACTGAAGCAAGCTACCGATAGAAAAAAAGACATCCAAAAATAGAACAGCTAGGCTTGATACGTTAGAGGCAAACAAAGCTGCATTAGAGGAGTTAGACGAGTCAGCAATGTCTGACGCCATGAAAGTGTTGAAGTCCAGCATACTGTCATTGCATGCGCATGTGGACAGTAGGCTGGATTTCATGCAAAACTCCTTGGACCAAATCTTGGACCTTTTGCAAAGGCCAGGATTACGGCCAGCAGCACAATCGCCGTTGCCGTTAACGGCGATGTCAGGCACCTTTCAAATACAAGCTGGCACACAACCAAGTGGTACATCTGCAGCAGTTGCACAGACTGTTGCTTCTTCTTCTTCTGGTCCAGAGGTGATAGCTACACAATCACCGCAACAAACTGTTCCACCACAGGGACAGCAACAAGGTCAACCCAAAGACCCCAATGAAACCGCCCCTTGCCTTCTCCGGTGAGAAGAAGGACGAGGAACTCAACACTTGGTTGAGAACAGTTCCAATATGGGTAAGGGCAAAGAGGACGTTGCAGGAGGAGGAGGTGATTATTGTTGCATCTTACCTTGAGGGTAAGGCAGCCAAATGGCTGGATGGGAGAGTAGCGAAGGCCAGAGTTCTTAGATATGTTAGAAGCTCGCTGGCATAATCCACAGCAGGCACAAATTGCCACTGATGCGATGCTCAGACTAGACCAACAAAGTACAAGTCTGTCAGAGAGTTGACGTCTACCGTAGAGAACCTCATCGTCGTTCCCGGTATACGCTATGATGACCAGGTCATGTTGACCATGTTTTTGAGATGTCTGCCCGAGAATCTCAGGACCTTACTGGCCAGCGAGGCTCGCCTCGAGTATCATTCCTTTGAGACCTTCTCTAGAAAGGCCTTAGATTTGGAGGCTACTTTAGTAAGTGCTCAACCTACTCCAGTAGACGGGAGGAAGAAGAAGAGTCCATAGGAGTGGAAAAAGAAGGGTAGTAGATTGATGATGGTTGAGTCCGATGGGACTCAAACTGAAATCGAAGAAATTACCGACCTGATGGACGGTCCAGAGTACGACAGTGAGGAAGTCGCTGAGGGTAGCACCCTCGCCGCAGTAGTAAAGACTAAGGCAGGTGGCCGAGGTAAGGGCCATCAAAAGAGTCAAGGGCAGACCGCCTCCAATCAGTCCAAGGTAGCAGATTGGGTTAAGGCAGGTCTTGATCAGGAAGTGTGGCGGGACCGCCGAGTGCGTGGTCCTTGCATCAACTGTGGTGAATACGGACACAACCAGTACAAGTGCAAGAACGCAAAGGTCACGCAGAAGATACCCCCTAAGGGAGGGGTACCTTCTTCCCAGGCT